TGGTGGTCATTGAGAGTTGTGGGTGGTTAAGTTCGTGGTGTAGATTGCCATGCCGCTTTTTGCACAAGCGTGGTGAAGTATTGAGCTACTATATCTATGTAATGTGTAGATTTGATCCGCAGATTAAAATTGGTGTTTTCTTCTAGGTAAAATTGAAAATCTGCCCAGTAGGTGTTTTTTGACGTGAGTCGAGGAGGTGGTGGGTTGTTTATAACTGTGGTATTCAGGCTCATAATAACCTGTGTGTGATCCGATGAGAGATCATAGCTGGATTCTATTCGACAGTTGTTTCTGGATACTCCTTTGCTTATGAAGTAGTCCAGTAGATCTGGATGTTTTTAAGGGTCACTCGGCCAGTACGTAGGGATTCCGTTGGTGTGGCAATCATAGTTGTTGTAGGTCATTGCTGTTAGAAGATTACGACCTTTTGTTGTTGTGAGTCTTGAGCCCCAGAGTGTGTGTTTGGCTTTCCCCCGGCTACGAATTTACTGCCAAATAATTGGAAGAAGGGTTTGTATTCATTTGTGGAGATTGCGTGACGAGGTGGGCTATATATTGCAGATATGTTAAAGTGCCATGGCGTTGCATTTACTTAAACGATTGCTGCTTGTATTTTGAAATTAATATTTTCACATTATAATTAACCACCATGATACAAAGATTAGATCCACAGAAATATCCATAGACATATAATACAAGATACACTGCCTGCCGCAAAACAGTAGTCCCCCAGTGCGAAATAGAAAAATGACGGAAAGCAATCCCTGCATCTCTGTCTAAGGGGTCGGGTTTATTGACCACGTGACCTTCTCTTTGGTCATTTAGGTCACGTAGTCTATCTTGTATTACATGTCTATAGAAATATCAGTATATCATGTTTAACCTAGACATTAATTCCAATATTATGAAAGACATCAGTTACAATTTCCAATCTCACCAAATCTAATAATGACGTCATAAAAACTCGCTAGATAATAGCGGGCAATAAGAAGTGTTGACTTCTTTCGGCATTTCCTAAGTACCACGGGCCGTTTCCTTTAATATAATAAGTCACTGTAGATGGTAATTGATTGTATCTTCCATACAATGGACAAAATCATTAGTAAATTAAATAAAAACATAATGACCTTGATCTCTGATATAATAATTAATATCAGGTTAAGAAAACATCAGGGTATAAAAAGGTATTGTTTTGTTGTCTATTGTAAAATATTAGGTATTTCTGAAACTTGTAAAAAAGTCAGCAAAGATTTACAGTATGTAATATTTATTATAAGATAATTGGGATTATGTTTTGATTGTCGTGGATAAAAAAGATAAACGGCTTTGCTATATAATATCTGTTGAATATTTTATTTCTTGGTGAGATATTTTGCTGGAATTTGCCGCTGTTAATTTTGCAATAATATTCTTTATGATATAATTTAATTCTAAATCAAATTATGATAGTTAAAAAATAGAATTAGATAATTATAACTTTTTTTTCAGTGTCAGAGTATTTAACTTTGAACACCAAAACTTTAATTTTGTTGTATCGATATTTTTATATTGAAAATCTTACACACTATACTTGAAAATGATTGATAGTACTGACAGAGAAGGTACGGGAGGTGACTTCTTGGTCAATGCTCTTTGCGGATGAGTGAAGGAGAGCAAAGAAAAGTTGGAAGGTTGAAAAAGGATATTGAAGATCGAGAACTTAGGGTTAGCAGGTCCAAAATGGAGTATATGTGGTTTGGAGGAATAGGAATCGTTGGAGGAATAAGAATTTAAATACTTTGGCTCCTACATAACGGAAAATGGTATACTAGATCGAGGAATTGCCACAGGATACAGGCTGGTTGATTTAACTGAAAGCGAATGAGCAGGTACTCTGTGTGTGATATAAAATATCAATACAGTTATATATCATAATCAAAATGAGAGCTGACTTACTAACCTAAGTCCTCTTTGCAATAGATTAACTGTGTTGGAAGTAAAAATTAAATGAAAAAATTTAAATATGCAAGAAAAAACAAAAAAAAAAACTGTAGTTGTCTACTAAAGATAAACAAATTTGTTTATCTTTAGTAGACAATACCCTAATATGGGTTTTTTATCATTTCAGCATTGATTTAACTTTGTATCGAGACCTGAAGATGCTTTGCATATTGTAGAAAGCGAAACCGGTCGTCTGATAGTTAAATTAAATTAATTGTGAGTAAGTCTTATTTATTATTTCTTTACCTATTTGAAATGGACTCACACAAGCAACACATTCATGATTTTCCATTTATCTTTGCCTGTATTCGATTATGAAAGTAGATGTTTTCGATGGTTTGTATGATATTGCTTGGTATGTTTCTTTTATACAGTAGGTGTAAGACGTCTTCGACTTGGATGCGATCGAAAGCCTTTGTCAGGTCTATAAAACATAGATATGCTGGTTTATTCTACTCGATGGCCTTTTCTATGATTTGTCTTAGTACAAATACGGCGTCTACGAAGGATCTTCCGGATCGGAATCCTTGTTGTTCATCTGATAATGTTGTTAGTCTGCTATTTCTTTCCGTTGGTTTATCATGAAATGAAAAATATTTTCATTTTTTTCATAGTGTTAATTTTTTGTTCTTCTTACCAACTGCTTTGTTTAATTTCGTATTCCTCTATAGGTGCCTCGGGATTCTGGAGTATTTGATGTTCTGTACTTCGTGTACGCCTCTCGTTTCTCTTTATATTTCTCTTTTATTTCTTTACCCAACCATGGTATATTGTTGTTTCTTTTGTTCAGTATGACTTTACGTTTTCCTAGAGCTTCTGTTGCTGCTTCTTCAATGTTGTTTTTAATTTTCTCCAAACTCACGTCTATTTGTTTCAGCTGTATCTTCTGTGCTAGCCTCGTTCTGCCTGGAGGTTATGAATGCGAGGACTGGGTGGATTGAGAAGCGCGTTCATGCCCACAGCCGGTCCCAAGCCCGGATAAAAGAGGAGGGTTGATGTGCCAGGTTAGCGTCCTACCCATAGTAAAAGAAAACAAGGCTCAAAGAACCGATATAAAGCCTCCTAACCAGACGGAACCTAAGATTACATACTAAATTACCTATCAAATAATTTTTATCCATTAAACAGATCGGTGAAGGTATTTCTTATATTGGATCTTAGACTAATTAAAGTGAATACAGTGATGAAGATTGTCAACCTTCGTAACGGATATAGCAACTGAAGAATTATTGCAGGTATTACTTGATAAAAACCATTACAACGTAAATAGTACGACCGAAGGATAAAATACGTTTTTGCAGTCAGGTAAAGTTGCAGATTTACAGTTGCGCAAGAATAATAAACAACCGACTAACCTATAAACTTGATAACTACCAACCAGTGGAACAGGCCGGATTCAGGAAAGGATATAGCACAATCGACCATCTACATGCGCTTAAAATCTTAATTGAGAAAACCAATGAATACAACCTTCCGCTGTACTTAGCATTCGTAGATTATGAAAAAGCTTTCGACAGCATTGAACACTGGGCGGTTGAAGAAGCTCTGGTCAATAGTAGAATAGATTCAAGATACCGACAATTGATACATGATATTTACCAAAACGCAACCATGACCGTAATTCTGGACGACAAGTTAATAACGGGTAATATAAAAGTTAAACGAGGAGTCCGACAAGGCGATATAATTTCACTTAAACTGTTTACCTTGACCTCGAAGACATAATAAAATCAACAGATTGGGAAAACAGTGGAATATAAATAAAGGAAAATACCTAAATCACCTTAGATATGCAGATGATATACTCCTGATCTCCTCGGAACGACAAGAACTGGAATTAATGCTGAATGAACTTCATGAAAAATCACTGCAAAAAGGCCTAAAAATTAACTTCAACAAAACAAAAGTAATGACAAACACGGAAGACCAAGAGGCTATAAAAATAAAAACAGAAAAAATAGAACAGGTAAATGAGTATATCTATCTAGGACAAGCAATCAGAGCTAACAGAGAAAATCAACAGCCGAATATGAGACGAGTAAGAATGGATGGGCAGCGTTCGGCAAACTTTCTTACGTTCTAAAAAATCAAAACAATCCCTCTATACTTACGAAGCAAGGTATATAACTCCTGTATAATACCGGTGCTCACCTATGGAGCACAGACATGGACATTTACACAGGCCAATTTGGATAGGATAAGGAAGGCACAAAGAGCGATGGAGAGACAAATGTTGGGTGTATCACTTAGAGATAGAAAACGTAACCAGTGGATCAGAACCAGAACAAAGACAGTAGACGCGATAGAACAAGCAGCAAAACTGAAATGGAAATGGGCTGGACACAATGAACGTCTCCAAGACGGACGATGGAACAATGGCATCGGAAAGTGGCGTCCATACAATGCAAAGAGATCAAGAGGCAGACCACAGATGAGGTGGAAAGATGACATCAGGAAACAAGGAGGTCCCACATGGCAGAGAACAGCTCAAGATAGGGAAAGATGGAGAGAACTGAGGGAGACCTATATCCAACAATGGAAGGATAGAGAATAGGTTCAAAAAAAAAGTTGCAGATTTATAAAAAATATATCATGCTGATGGACAATAGACTAATTTCACGATTTCAAGAAACAGATGTCAAGTCACGAATAAAATCAATCCAGGTAGTTGGTAGAATTGTTAATTTCTGGAAGTGTTTTTATTTTGATGCATGTTGAAAAACTGGATTAATATTATTGTTGTAAATATTATTCATGACGTTAAGACTTAATTGTTCTACCCCAAAGAGAGGTACACAACTTAAGTTGTTTAATAAACACCAGCTTACACTTTGCCACAATGGACAACAAATATGTTTTTGCATTTTTGACGTAAGTACAGTTTTTAGAACTCTAACATGCTTTTATCGACTAAACAGCACACTACGATAAAGCGTGATACACATTTTAATGATTTAATTTGTTGAGGGATTAATGACTTAATTAAAATAATATAAGAGATAAAATATTTTATGTTTGAAGTCATTTCTGGTTCAGGTTTTATGGTAGACATTACCATTGTGTGTTTTGATAAATTCATCGTTTTTGATTGATCAAAAGACAAACCATGGAATTCTACTGGATAACGATGCTACTGCTGGTGCTACAGGGGGTTGATGGAAAACATTTAGTACAAAGTAAGTATATCTACGTCAGATATTTGTTGCGTTTCAACTAGGAAAAACTGTCTAGTAAACTTTTCACGAATTTTATCAGCACGCTAACCCAAATATTTCGAAACACCTCACCCTTCTTAAATTAAAGTTTAACGACTTATTTGCTGTTATTTATTAAATCTTTAAATTTGATAATATTAAGTACTTATTATACAATATTATGTATTACATTCGTTAAGCATTTCACTGGTGTACGTGACACCAATTATCGGGATATTTTCATCGAAGATTCTATTGTTATAATCACTTGCTTATAGTTTGCCGCATTTTCAACCATCTCTCCATTTTTCCATTGCTTATTATCCCCTTTATCTTTTAAATCAACTGAACTTCATTTCCTTTAGAATTTCTTCCGCTACCTTTTCCCAGTTCTTTCTTTGCATCGATTGCTAAGTTATTTGTCTTCCTTTATACATATCTATCTTAATTTGAAGCTTTAATTATCTTTGCTATGTCTTTCCATTTCATCTTGCTTCTCATTACTTTTCTTTCTCCTATTATCTGTTTTCTCTGCCCTAATTTCCATTTTTTTCTCGTTTTCACATTGTCATTTGCCATCTGAATTTTCATTAGACTAAAATATGACAACTAAGGTTTGCTCCTATAAACAATGTTATACTTTTAAACATTTTCTTGTTTAATGTTAATACATGATTAACATGATATTCGGCTATATTCGGAGGTCAGTTCGTTTAATTTTACATTTTTGTCTTTTTGATAACCAATGCCAAACTAATCTAGTATTAACATTATTGTGTTTTAGTACTCTAGAAAAAACACTTCTATTCTGAGAAAACTTGACTTGCAATGAGGCCTTTAATAATTCGTCAAGCATTTGTTTTGCATCAGCGATGTTGCCTGTGATAAGAATGATACTCTATCTGTTATAAAACACCCTCATTTGGGCGAATAGTATATGATCCTAGTTTTGAAATATTAGAAATGATAATTTAACTATCCGTACAACTCAAAAGGTGTGCTAAGTCTTTTATTAAATAATTTGTGAAAAAAAGAAAATGAGAAAAATTCAATGTTTTTTTCTTTTTTGTTGCTATATCTCGGCAGCTATACAGTGTAGAAAAATATTGTAACAACAAAAAAGTTTTACAATTAAATTTCCTATAAGACAAAATTGATTGCAAATTAAAAAAATAATAATCATTGCAAAATTAGCCAAAACAATTTAAAAAGGGCCAAAAATCAATGTTTTTTAATAATTTCTTTCAGGTATTTAAGAGTCACATAGAACTTTCACAATTTACTCAAAAAAATCTATGAAACTTAAAAAAAACACTATACAAATTTTCAGCACAATCAATTGTAAAATTACTTTGCAATCTAAATTTTTGAAAAAAAGTTATTAATTATCAAACTTATGCAGAGCCAACAAAATAGTGTTAAAAACATGAAAGTTTTTTTACGTATAAAATGGTATTGAAGCTGTCAAATAAAAGTCAAATTATTGAAACAATTTGAACAGGAGAACCTAAGGAATTGTTTAAACAATTGTACAATATTTAAGCAAATAAACAAATACAATAACTTATTCAATTTTCAATAACTTTTTTTGTCTAAAATTACGTCGAAAGTTCAGCAAAAGACGCGCATTTTAAGAAAAAAAACTTTAAAGATTGATCAGTAAGTTCCGGAGTTATGATCGAACAAAGTTGACCAGTATTTACAACAATAGTACGAAGATTTTTTAAACAAATGCCTTTGTTGTGCCAAACAGCTCGTAGATATAAATGTTCAACTTTTTGAAGCGAAGGTTTTAGGAGCAAACATGAAGAAGAGTCCATTTGTGTACATAACGAGAGGCTGGCCGTTAGGTATATCAAATGTCAAAACTGACCATAATTTGTTATTTTGATTTTCGAAATGTTTCATAATTTTTTTATGTTTCATAATTATATGAAAGCTCGTTTCCTACTTGTGTTCAGACATTAATAACAAATATGAGAATAATAAAAAGAGGTATTGTACCTCATAATAATGAGGTACAATAAAAATAGGTTCTTAATTATAAATGAGACTTTAATAAACAGAAATAAAATAAAGCAAAGAATCCATATAGATAATATGCAACATTGTTGATCTATCGCGTTAAATAAACCAAAGGATTAGAAAAAAACTATCTAACATCATAAGAAGCTTAGCTTAAAAATGCTTGTTAACAAAGTGAGTAATTTTTAAATGCTGTGTGATATAATAATATATGTATGTGTATTTTGGAATTATTTTAACTATTTACTTTTGCATCTTGCACGTTTTTCTGCTAATGCATATTTAATATATCGTGATTTGGCAAATATATTTCGTTTTGTAGAAGTTGTTTTATCAAAAATTAGTGCTCTTCAGTATTAACTTTATTATTAAATGCTTGATCTGGACTTTTCTTTCTCAAATTCTCGTTACAATTTTTGTTTTTTTTTGTTTTCGATTTTTCTTTTTATTTATTTTGGATTGCGTCTTTGATCCATCAGCAACTCTTCCGAATTTAAATACATATTCGACTTTCAACCACTGAAATCATCATAATTTCTTTAATACGGCTCGAAGGACCAAAGTTAATGTCGTAATCGTCACGAGAACGAATTTAATGAAGATCAGAAGAAACTATTAGAGTGCAATAACAATCTTTATATAGCAAATTAACACTTATAAGTCTATATAGATTTGAGACATTACAACACAAATGAAAGCAGAGTTTAATATTCGAGATAAGAGTCTTCAGAGAAAACTAAGCCCAACAAACTAGAGTATACCTGGTAGCATCGTCCAAAGAAATAGATGAACCCAAAGATATAATTGTCAGTGTACGATGTCCACTGCAAGACGTATTCTTTTATAAAAACCAAGGTCACTGGACGAAGGGATACATCAAAAATTGAGATCAAGGTAGATGAAGGTATTGAACGTATGTAATGATGTCAAGTGGATCGGAAGGCCGAGTAGTATCCAAGAAATAATATTCAATGGTAAACTAAGGTTTAAAAGGTTTAAGAATTATCTTAAGGCCAGAAGTATATCATTCGCGGACATAAAATAGTTCGCCAGTGTTATTTATGCCTGCCCAGTTCTTTATATACCGTAGTTACATCATTTGTTTGCGACTGATACAGGTACTCCATATTTTACTAATGCAATCTTTGCGAATGTTGTGAATCTGAATAATGCATCTTATATGTCATTAATTTATTTCAGATAGATAAAAGAGTCATTGGATTATCTTCCATGTCGTTAGATTATAATTACTTTATTTTATATGAATCGTTATTATTTTATACTAAACTATTGTGATATTTTGATACTATTTTATTGGGAATAAGCCACAATTAAAGGTTAAAATAAGTTTATTGACGTTTATTGATGTTTGTATTTTGAGAACGATTTCCGAAGTGAAAATTGAAACGTCAAAAAACTTATTTTATACTTCAATTGTAGCTCATTCCCAATAAAATAGTATATAATTTAAAATACCACAAGAAAATAGCTTCAGAACAATATTGTATTATTTATCTAGATTAAATCCGATCTAATCCGATGGTCCGTTTGGAAACGTCCCAGTTTGTTAGCTAGTTCTCGATGAATAATATGACCTACTGAGTCATGGCGTTTTTTATGTTATAATCAGTACCAACAAACGCCTGGCAGCACTAAGTAAGATGGTCGATGGTTTCTTGGGCTTAATCTCCATATCGACATTTTTCGTTTTGGACCTGAGAATCTCTGACAACATATTTCGGTTGTTAGTATAATATAGTAGTATAGTAGTCTTCAGTTTCACTATTTTTAGTTGGAATAACCTGATCCTAAATGGCAAGTAGGCCACCCTCTGCGTCGGAAAACATCTTTTCTGGTGTCAACCAATAGTTCGAGGCTGTATTGTCGGGACAAATCAAGGGATACATTTCCCGTTAAGTATATCTAAGGATGTGACAGTTTTCCAAGCGGAAATAGCGGCAATCCATCACTGCGTGGAAGAAATGGAACGGCAGGAAAGAACGTTTTGTTTAGTTGCCATCTTCACAAATAGTCAAACAGCGCTAAGGCACTCAATTCTGTAGAGGTCAATTCTAAGCTAGTATTGGGTTGTGTGTATGCCCTAAATAAACCAGGAGACCGTAGCAAGGTTACGGTAGCCTGGGTACCGGGCACGAGGGTCATAAGGGCAATGAAAAAGCAGATGAAATGGCCAAACACAGCTCATTAATGCCAGTCATTGGACCGGAACCCTTCTGCGGCGTTGCAAAGTTAGTAACAAGAACGGCTACAAGGAAGTGGGTTGCTCACAAATCTCTGGAATGGTGGAGGAATTCACCAGGACAAAGACAGGCGAAACAGGAGCCAATAAGCAAAGACAGAAAAACAGTCAGAGCCATAGTAGGTCTTCCAACAGAGTACTGTAAGTTGAATAGGCACTTGAAGCTGATGGGATTATCAGATGATGACCTGTGCAGATTCTGTCACTTCGAAGAAGAAACAGCAGAGCAATTTTATGTCAGTGTGAGAGTCTGGCAAATGTGCGGTTTTTTGCATTAGGAGAGGAAAATCCACTGGCAAATAGCTACAAGGAAGGTACAGTCTCGAAGCTATTAGACTTTATAAAAAGGGTCAGGCTAGAAAATGTTATCTAGGAACACAATAGATCTGAAAAGGTCGCAGTGGAATAGGCCAAAAGGCTACCTCTCTAAAGCATGCAGAGGTTTACTCATCTAGGTGCGCATTTTTTCTTGTTTAGAAAGGCAGTTTATGCATATTTCTTGATTCATTAGTTTAAGCGAAGTTGTGCCATCTACTGCGCAAATTGCGGGATGTAAAGTAGATGTCTCAGTCTGTGTCTGAAAATAGATTCTTAAGTTAGCAACTTGTTTATCCGCTGCTCACCTATGTTCATAAGTCCTCTTCCCCTAGATACCACGGTAATATTGTTCTCTCTACTGCACTACGTGGATGATGTTTTTGTGCCCTTGTGAGAACTGTTCTTGCTTTCCGGTAAAGACTTGGTATTCGACGGTTAAACTGCAAAACCTCGTAAGTCAGTTTTATGTAACTTTACAGGAGAGACGAAAAACGTTTTGGCTTCTTGACTTAACATTCAGTTTTCTCGTTTTTTGAGTGTAGGGTTCTTTTGAGGTAACGATTACATTACTCTTAAGTAAAATTTAGTAACATTGTTTTTTTTTGTCAAAAAGCCACTTACGAGGTTTTGCAACTTAAAATCTTAAACTGTCAGTAAACTTACGAGGTTTTGTCTCAAAAGAACCACTTTCGAGGTTAAAAAAAAAGCAATAAATTAAATTATTTTTAGTTAATTTATTACATTACATCACCTATGGTATAAAACTTATAAAATATTCTTAAAAACGAGTAGTGACAACCAATCTTTATACTTAAAAAGTAAAAAAATCAAAACCAAAATAGCCGTAGTTTATAAAACTTGCTAATATTCACTATTAAATTAAATTCTGTCCATAAGAATAAAAAAAAAATAAAAAATAAAAATTGTGATAATTTATAACTGGCTAATATCCTCTATTTACTCATGAGCAAGAGACTCATAAAAATGCCGAAAATCTTTAGGAATAAAGTTTTTCATATCCTGCAAATCATTAAATTTAGAAAGTGTTATTTTTGGTGCAGTAGGATATGATAATGGCGGAGCATTATTTGCTTTTTCTTTGTTGGGTCGTTGCGGTAGTAGTTTCCAGTCATCTTCGTAATACAATTTGTACTCTATAAGACCATTCGGACGATATGCTAGACACCTTAAATTTGTGACTGTAGGATCACCTTTTTTCTTACCTGGACGAATTGAGGGATATGTTTCAATCTGGGAATAATCTTTAAAGAAAAGATGATCTAGGTAATGAACATCATAAGGATGCTGTAATTTTGCGTTTTTACAAATTTGAACATAACAGCCAGGTACATAAATGTCCCTATTTTTCAGCTGACGCTCGATGCAGGCGTGCATCGAGTCGCACTCCATTTGAGTATGTCCTTTTTCCAAATAGTTTTGGTAAATTTGAATATTCTTTGCTGCTGCAAAATTGGATAAAGCACTACTCAAAGTTGAATTCCTGTTTTGGTAATTGCAGCCATCAGAAAAAAAAATAACTTCTTTTGTTTCTTCTGTTACATACTTTTCAATCTGGTGAATGACAATTGATGTGAAGTCAGAAGCTTTTATATTTCCGGCTCCCTCATGCCAGATGTAACAGTCACCCTTATTTGATGCTAGATTAAAAAAGCACAAGTTGTGAACATTAAGTTTCTTTTTATAGTACGAAACAGATACTTGCAATTTTGGCGCACTTAAAACCGTTTGTAAATCCATAGTGAACAACAATTTAGTTGAATCGTTTTTAGTGGACTGTTTTAATTTTTCCTTTTCTTGGCGAGCAGCATTTTTTCTAATAATATGTAACTGATAATCTTCATTACTTACAGTCCCAACAGTGTTACTAGTGCAGATGTCACACTGGTCCTTCCTAAAAAAAATTGATTTATTGGAGGCAATAAAATAACAATAAGTAAACACTTACTTTGGCCTAAACAGAGACAAATTTTGGTCCTCAAATTGTCTTCTAAAATACGTGTGACTTACTGGAGCATGTTCGTTAGTTGATCGACATTCATTAGTGTAACATCTATATAATTCGTTTATATTTTGCCACATCGGTTCTAAATACAATTTAGATGTTTCTTTACGGCAATAGTGGCTTTCAAGTTTGGGCAACTTTTGAAAAAAGTTAATTAGGAACTTTTTCTTTTCCGTTGGCTCGGATTTACAATTAGTATTCAATTGCTCAATATTTTGGGTTTGAGTTACGTTTACCCAACTTGCTACACTCCACTCCCCTACACATAGTGTCTCTAAAAACATTTTTTTGCATACCCGAAGTCGTATACTATTCTTTTTTAAATGAAAACATAAGGTACCTTTCCGCTGTTTCTCAATGGCTTCTAAAATCAAATTTATTTTAGTAAACCTATTATAGAGTTTAAAATATTATTAGTTACCTGCTTTGCGTAGTTTAATTGGCGCTGTATCAACAAGGCCTTTTACAAACATTTTTTTCTCGTCCCAATTCAACTGCCAAAAGTTATTGAATAACTGTAACCTATCTTCTTGACTAAATGTTCTGCAAAAGAGTTTTGATGATTTTAAAGACAATTTGCATTCACAAGCTGGACCCATTTGTCTTTGATTTCTTTCAACGGTTACGTACTTTTTAGTAGTTTTTTCGTACATTTTGGAATCATATTTCTCACCTCGCATTCTTTTTATTCTGTTGTTAGAGCGACCCCATTTTTCTTTGTGTACATTCCATTTTTTTGCCCTTTTCTTTTTGGTTTGATTTTTATTGTCAGTTTCAGCTTCATTGGTAAATTGGTCACTTTCATCAGTGTCATCGGTAGACACTATATATTCAGATCCACTGTCTTCAAATGGTTCCGTTTCTTCAGAATTTAAATTTATAACATCATCATTACTGTTATTTAAACTCTGAGATAAAGATTTTAAATCATGGGTTTTATCTGCATAATTATTATCACTAAGTGATGCCTGACCATCTTTTATACTAAAAAGATAACCTCGCTTTATTGATTACGAACAAATTACCTTAATATTACATTAAAAATAATTGTACAACAGTAAACTTACCCCTCTTGGCAATCTGCACTGTTTGTTTTTATTAAGCTTAAGATATATTTTCCTCTTGAATTCATTATCAAAATTATGTAATACCAATAGATATTATCTTCTCAAAATCTCATTAACACAACAACAAAATTGACAACCACCACTCAAGTAATGAAATAGTTTCTGGAAGTCCCACAAAATTAAACTCCAAAACCACGCAAGTCGAACTTAAGAGTTTTCTGCTAACAGTTAGTTTTACGAGGTTTTTGTAGATGTCGCTAGTACCATTAAATTTAAATATAGACTTACAAGATTTCGTAGTTTAAAAGATATGGAAAAATATAAACCAAAAAAGTATAAAAGTCATAATTGACCAAAAATCGACTTACGAGGTTTTGCAGTTTAACCGTCAATATCCCTTTTTGACCACTTTATAATACCAAATGAGTAGCTAAGTGCGGAACAGCGTAATTATTTAATGCCGTAAACCAAATTTTTACTATTAAGGTGTGACCGATTTAGCTGTCTTACTCTTCGAAAGAATTCGGAAGTTAGTTCGGTTTTCATTTAACTTCTATACTGCTATTTTTTAACTGCTACATTTGTTTTGCTCTTAATTGCCACTGACTGTTTTTATTTATAAATTATATTATAGATTATATTTTTAAAACTAGTTAATGTGAAAATTAATTTATAATTTCTTTCCAGAAAACTCAAAGCTAGAGTCTTCTCCACGACATTCCTTTGAAGAGAAACAGAACACCAACTCGTGTAAAATAGAAAACCAACAGACTGCCCATGAATCCCGATGCGACTTGTACTACCGATGCGTATACGGCGTTAAAGTACAAAAGGAATGTCCCGCAGGAAAGTTATTTAATACTCATATCTCAAACTGTGATAATAGTTACAACGTAGACTGTAATAATAGAATACACAACAATCTTAATAAGTTAGTTGTACACAGTTTCGACTTTTATGATCCCCAGGAAACTACTACTTTAGACTTAAGCGACGAAGAAACGTCACCTTCAGTAGAAAACGGCGAGTGTCCTGAAAAGAAAGATCCATACGAACCTTCTCCGCTTCTACCTCACGAAGAAAGCTGCAACCATTTCTATAAATGTATCAACGGCAAGAAGGTATTGATGAAATGTCCAAAACCCTTCCAGTTCAATTACAAAGTTTTAGCTTGCGATTGGCCTCAAAATGCACGGTGTTACAACAGAAAAATAGATTCTACGACAGTTCATTGAACTTCATCAATGAGGAATAGGTGGGAAATTGACAAATTAACTGTAAATAAATCACCTGGTTACTTCATAAGTAACCCATTACTGTGATTTGATCAAAATTTGAGAGCGGTGTAAAGAACTGTAAAATATTTATTGTGTAAATATAATTATTTTGTAATTTTGTTTACTTTAAAATTTTAATATTTGCTCCTATGGTTCCCTTACTATATTGCTGAAGATTCGCTATTACCATGACAAACATATATTTGTCAGATATATTTATATTGTCCTTCTTCTTCTTGTAGTTCCTTCTACTATCGGAGGTTGGCTATCATCACAGCTATCCGTTGCTTAATTACTATTATAACTGGGAATAAGCCACAATTAAAGATAAAAAATACGTTTATTGACGTTTCAATTTCCAATTCGGAAATCGTTCTCAAAATACAAACAGTAAATTAAACAAATTTTGTTTTTTGTTACATAGTGAAAAAATTCTTCTAATAATTTAATTTTATCTGACTCATTTATATTGACAATTCAGACATACATTATGCATTTTAAAGTAGACGACTTTAAAATGATATTGCCAATATTGTTGAGTTGCGCTCCTGGGACGACTTTACTTATAAGATAGTTCATTCGATTACATGAAATCAACTTTAACTTGAGAATATCCGTCAGAAAAAAATCATAGCATGTAATTCGTCTTTAAAAAGACAAACACATGACATGATGACAGTAAAATTCTCCTGTTAGTGATTCCATAGTAAATTATGAGGGAAAAACCAGGAAAAAAACCTCATAATACTATCCCGACATTGTAAGTATTTGTTCGTGAATTTAGTTTACCTTCAACAAACATCAAAATTCTGATTTTATATGTTACGTTATTTAAAAAACATAAATGATGTATCCTCTATATGTTACTGACTTACTAATACTGGTATTTTCTTATTAATAACTTCCTCTTTCAATATTGGTAACCAGATCCTACTACATTCTGCCGAGGAATTTGCGACACAATTGGCCTCATTTAGCATAATTAGAGCCGCTTCTTTGATTTTTCTTTTTTTACCATCCGTTTCTTTTAGGACTATATTTGAATTATTCCATTGAACCCTATGTTCATTATCCCATGCGTGTTTACATATTTGAGATCTATCAAATTCTCTATTTTTAATATAAGATTGATGTTCACTTATTCTAACATTTAATGGCCTTGATGATTCACCTAAATAAAACTGATCGCATTCACAAGGTATTTTATAAATGCAATTCTTTGTCCTTTCTTGTTCATTGTTAGGTTTGGTTTTGGACAAAATAGATCTCAATCTTCAATGGAATAATTCAAATATAGTCCTTAAAGAAACATATGGTAAAAAAAGAAAAATCAAAGAAGCGGCTCTAATTATGCTAAATGAGGCCAATTGTGTCGCAAATTCCTCGGCAGAATGTAGTAGGATCTGGTTACCAATATTGAAAGAGGAAGTTATTAATAAGAAAATACCAGTATTAGTAAGTCAGTAACATATAGAGGATACATCATTTATGTTTTTTAAATAAGGTAACATATAAAATCAGAATTTTGATGTTTGTTGAAGGTAAACTAAATTCACGAACAAATACTTACAATGTCGGGATAGTATTATGAGGTTTTTTTTTCCTGGTTTTTCCCTCATAATTTACTATGGAATCACTAACAGGAGAATTTTACTGTCATCATGTCATGTGTTTGTCTTTTTAAAGACGAATTACATGCTATGATTTTTTCTGACGGATATTCTCAAGTTAAAGTTGATTTCATGTAATCGAATGAACTGTCTTATAAGTAAAGTCGTCCCAGGAGCGCAACTCAACAATATTGGCAATATCATTTTAAAGTCGTCTACTTTAAAATGCATAATGTATGTCTGAATTGTCAATATAAATGTCACTATGTAACAAAAAACAAAATTTGTTTAATTTACTGTTGTATTTTGAGAACGATTTCCGAATTGGAAATTGAAACGTCAATAAACGTATTTTTTTATCTTTAATTGTGGCTTATTCCCAGTTATAAATAGTAATAATTTACAATGCCACAAGAAAATAGCTTCAGAACAATATCCGTACCTTATTGGCAGCTGCTCTGAAAAGATCTACGAGCTGCAAATATAACACTCTGTTAGATTTCTTAGCCAGGATTATCTTGTCCAAGATTGTTTAATAGCTTAGTAATACAAGCAACAATACATTGGCTTATAGGTTAGTCCTTACAGTAGGAATCCTGGTCTGTACAGAATAATGTTAGTGGTTGTGGGGTAATACTACACTTTGGTTGCATTGGTGGTGTGTTGGTTAAAGCGTGCAGGGAATGATGCTGACAAAGAAGACATTCATTCAGGTATGAAAAGTCCTAAATTTTTTAGGCCATAATAATGAAAGGACTTTCTCCAATGTTAACAAAAATTACACTATAATGATGGCATTTCCAGGATACAATCTTGCAAACCTAATAAGTCTAACAGTATACAGTTGGTCAGTCTTATCATTATGAAGATGGTAGATGTGCTTAAACGAAGGAGATTACAAATTGCTTGCATTTAAGACACTACGTGGAAGAGACAAAAGGCGGAATTACTAGGTGAAGGATCCAAATTGTGGTATATAGAGAAAAGTAACATTAGAAATGAAGTTGGTATAATTGCTAATAGAGAAACGGAAGGCAACGTAGTGTAATTATTACATTTAATAAAAAAACAAAAAGTGTGGAATGTTGTGTGTATATACTCCTCAAATTGATCTAAGTGAAAAAAAAGTTTTCTATTATTAATTAGGAGACACACTGAGTGATGTTCCGTCAGAGGAGAGAGTCATATTGGGAGCTGATTTTAATGCTCATGTGGGCCAATCTAGGAGAGTATATAAAGTAATACACGAAGGACTAAGCTTGGGAACTAAAAATGAACCTGAAATGATATGCTGTAATTATCAACAGCATTAGATATTGCGATTGTAACATATTCTTTCATAAGACAGAAAGTCAAGTTATTACACTCAAAAGTGAACGATATCACTAGCCAAATATATACGTGAATGTAAGGTCTACAAGATAATAGTTAATGTACTGTGAGCCAATAACATAAGTTGTATATGCTGGACATTGAAGTAAAAAGCAAAACTATGCCAAAATATCTGAGAGTACCGCACAAACATCAAGTGATAGATGTTAATAAGATGAGAAAGAATTTATATTTAGAGCAAAAATGGTAGAAAAAAATGTACTGGAACATAAAATGAAGGGCGGGCATGTTTTCGACGCTGAAGTACCCGAGGGTCTTAAAAGTATCCTTGTTTTGGACGCTGACGGAAGGATTATCGCAGGTACCAGATATTAGATATAATTAGGGTTTAATGATGGTCATTGAAATTTACTTAGTTACTAGTTATTAGATTGTCAGAGAATAGTGAAAAGTGAACATGGAAATTTTCAACGTTAGTAAGTAATCGTGGTGAAAATTTTGCTCAAAGTGAACAGTTTTACTTTTCTCAAGATAAAGTACTAAAATCGGGAGAAACGTATTCTAACTAAAGATATTCACGTAAGGGCCAGAAAAGTTAGTGATCCGAAGTAATCTAGAACATAATCACGAGTGTGATATCAAGACGCTTAATAGACAGATTGTGCGTAGCAGTGCCAAAAGGAAGGCTAAGGATAATTTTACCGAAAGGCCGTCCAAAATCATACATAGTGCGTTGAAAGAAAATGTAGATTGCTTGAGCCACATGTCTGTTAAAGACGTTAATTTAATACGAAATCAAATATACAGTGAACGGCGAATGGCTCAACCGAAACTGCCCAAAAGTAAAGAAGAAACTATTGCTGCGGTAAATATTATGAATATCAAAACACTTAAAGACGAGAATTTTATATTTGCGATTGAACTAAGTTCTAACATATCATTCTCGTGAACACTAACATGCGTTTTCTGTGCGGCAGTGAAACGATTTATATGGACGGTACATTTAGTTACTGTGCTCAATATTTCAAGCAATTTTTTACCATACATGTATTTATCAATGGACATTATATACCATTGTGTTATTGTTTACTTCCCGACAAATCGGAACAAACCTATATAAAACTATTTAATGTTTTGAAACGCAAATGTGAAGTAATTGGTCTAAAATTCAATCCAAAAATCATTTTCTCCGATTTTGAAATTGCTATCCACAATGCTGCGCGTTTTGAATTTCCAAATGTGCACATTAAAGGGTGCCGTTTTCATCTTATGCAAGCTTGGTATCGTAATATCGGTGGTTGTGGCTTAATTCGGGAATATAAATTGGCAGACAGTGAAATATCTAAATGGCTGAAATATATTTTTGGGCTGCCATTTTTACCTCCCTCAGAAGTCGAAGAATCTTTCATATATGATTTTATGGCTATTCAACCAAAGGATTCAAAAATTGAAAAGTTTTCCGACTACTTATTGGACAACTACATTGGCGACCACGCAACATTTCCGTCGGAGATGTGGGCTGCGATGAGTGAGAGTTTACAATTAACAACTAATGCTTGTGAATCGTTCCACTCGCGTTTTAATGATAATTTTTACCATGCTCATCCAAATATTTTCCATTTTATTGATGTTTTAAAAAAATTTTCAAACTGAAACTTACATTAAAATTAATAGTGTCTGTAATAGTGAAAGTAATAGACTTAAAGATCCAAAGAGTAGAAAAAAAATTATGTTCGTTAGAAATAGGATACATGAGTATCAAACTAACTGTATCGATCGATTCCATTTCGTAAAATGTATGTCGTATTTATTTCAAAGTGACAAATAAACCTTATCAAGCTTAATCTCTAGAATTTTATTACCTGACTTTCCATTTACATTTCAATTACACCCAGCGTCCAAATCATGTATGCAGAAACAGGTAATTTTATTTTTCAGTGTCGAATTTTAAATTTAGCGTCCAAATCATGCACGCCCAAAATGAAGACCTAGTACAAATTGGTGGAATATGGCCAATATTTTTCAAAATAAAGACACTTGGTGGTGACGAAATGAGGTTCAAGAAAAAATAAAGAAGAGAAAATTATATAAACAGTGGCAAGAAAAACTACGGTATTGCCAAAAAGGAAGCGAAAGTAGCAGTAGCGAAACCTAACGCAAAAACGTGAAATGCGTGTACAAA